GTACGCGTGTCATCAAAGCAGATATTCAATACACGCGCCAACGTCCACGTCAGAAAATGGAGATAAATATCCAATCAAAGATTATTGAAAAATCGAATACAATCGAGAAATGGGATGGTATATGGTAGTGGATTGCATACAGACAAGGCACATTTCAACTTAATATACAGCAGACAACCCGCCTCTCTCGTAATCTATGCGTACTTTTAGTTTCTTATTCATTGTAGATAGGACTACTTTTATTTCAGGTCATCAGGTGTGGTTTTTTTTATAAAATTTTCATTATCAGCATTGCAACGTAGGGAGAGTCTTTGTTCCTTAAAGTTCTGTAAATCTGAATAAAATCCGCTCTCATCTGGGCATAGTGTTGTGACGTTTTGACATTATAGACAATAACTTCAAAATATGACAGCAAACCTTTGTGCTGTTGAAGGACAACACTTTTTAAAACTTCGACAACAAGACAAACTTGCATCACTCATGAGCAAATAGCAACGCGTAACTTGATGTCAAGCTGTGCTTTCTTAATTCTTTTCTAGGATATATTTTCGACATGTTTAAAGTTTAGACTAACATTCCTCTACGCTATGATATTGGATCGAAGTGTGCCCTCTACTATGCTTTAGTCAGAGCCGCAATCCTTGTCAGTAAAATGATTATTTATAGGATATTAATGCTATTGGTGAAATCCAAGGCTTTGGTGATACAGGAGTACTTTACGCAGAGAGCTGACTGTGGGACAATGATTCTAAGTTAATAAGCTAACAAAGGGTAAAGTGCCATTGGCATGAAAGAGAAAAAGAAATAAAACGGGATAGAAATGAAAATCAAACATTTAAACATCTTCAACTTTAATAGTTTTGGCCATTCGATTGAATGCAGCTGTTATTTTTTTATTTATAAAATATGAAACCACGATCCACTGAAACAAAGAAAAATGCTATGAATAATACATTAAAAAAATCAACAACCTGTGGACTTGTTTTAATGTATTTTTTTACATTCATCAATATTACGGTTTACAGTGGGCTCCGAATAACATGGTGAATAGCTTAAAATCAATCTTTCAAGTGACTATGATTGTTGGAGTGCTGTTCCGTCAATATCGTTTTATTGACGTTCTACAGACACAACAGAGTGATTAGCAGAGAACGCGTTTTGTTACTGATTTTATTTTTAGAATATGCATTAAGTGAAAAAAGGTAGTTTAATAGTTGTGTCGGTGTGAACCCCATACATTACCACGCGATCCTACAAAGGATCATCTATCAACGGTAAAAAGATAAAAGAAAGACGCAGCCGTTCACACTATAAATCCTTCTTTAAGTTCTCTGGTGTTCTATTTTATCATACTTTACATAAAGTGGAGTATTGGCAACACTGCACAAATGTATGTTGAGTTTAGGTATGGGCAAATACATCCACGGGTGAGTGTGTAGGTCTGTGAAATACCCGTGGGTTTTACCGTGAAGACAGAGTTCGACCTATAGTGTATTGCTCTTTATTCACCTTCAGTTATTCTTTATGTTTTGTGTTTCTTTCAACAAATCTTTTCACTTTTCAACTCTTTACCACACCTACAGTGTAATACAAAATACCACACGCCTTAGTTCTATTAGGAGAGCTGTGTATCCCAAGAAATGTGAACGGCAATATAAATATATGATTGTAAAATAGTTTGGAGAACATTTATTAAAAAGCACAACAAAAGCCAAAATGAAATATAATGCAGATGAAATTGTGAGAATGATTGAGTTCCTGGTTGACAGTAATTGTTGACAATCTAATTAAAATTAGATCTTCGCATCTCTCCTGTTTACTATAAGTCGCTTCCACGCGAAGATCTAATTTTAACTAGACTGCTTTGTTGAGTTCGGTGGCAAGACTTTCGGCAGACCGATCGTGATCTTTCACGTTCTTGATAATAACATCCCCGTTTCTTCAAGATCTTACTCCGACTGTCACGTTTTCCATGATAGATGTCAATTGCTGACGGACAAAACTTACAATACAAGGTTCGCAAAGATGCAGGTTGATGAAGACTAGGACAAGTGTTATGATCGCCATCATAATCTCATAGAGAAATATACTATTACTTTGAGTTATATGAAAGTTTATGTAAGGACGTGACAATACTTCGATTTGACCGAGATTTACATGGCGGGTGTCGTCGATGAAGCAGAAGACTTAGCATCCTTGTACTTTTTTTTTTAACTGTCTCCATGTAAAGCATCCCTTTGTCCATATTTTGCCATGATTTTATCGATTTTAAGTTCGAATTTCGGTTCTATTGACAGTACGGTAATATCGTATTATCTTCTGCTTTTTTGATACACATGTTTAATTCTGATTTTTTTTTTACTGGTGATAAGGCAGGATTAATAACTCTAAAAAAAAACATGTTTGAAATAGAAAGATAACTTGGGCCACACAGAGTTGGTTGTACCTTTAAAATTTAGTCAAAGATACAGTGAGAAATCCGGTTTCCAATCAGGAAATATTTGTCATAAACCATGACCTCAAAAAAGAGTAAAGCCTTGCTGACCAATACAATCGCCTCTATGATATAGGCACCTGCATATCAAATGCTTCAGAGCTGAAGATTGATAATGGGAGAAAGTTGGTTGTCAAATATATTTCAAAAGAATAATCGAGTCGGTTACGACCGTAGTAGCTAGCACTGGTGTTTGCTTAATGCTTGAAACCAAAGGTAAATGAGCGTGCTGATATATAACGGATCATTACCTATGTCGTGGTTTCAATACCTCGCACATAAGTTGCAATGACGCAGGATGTTATGTGATGAGAGGGTTTGGTAGAATAACATTGTTTATACTGAAATATACCATTGAATGAAATATTCCATGACCAAAGGGAGGTAACCTGTGAAAGATTTTTTTCATCTTTGTATTAGTCTGATGAATGTATTATAAGATCGAGAATGTGGCTTGCTAATTACCTCGTTATATCGAAAATGACGTTGGGGGTAAGTTAACGAGTTTTCATATCCGGTCACGCAGTATTAACGCGCCCAACGAAATGTCGTGTCAGTGGTTTCGGACTTGTTATTTCCGATTCCGTCGTCCGAACTACGTCTTCTCGTAAAATATCTCTAAGACCTCGGCCATAGTATTGTGTACAATATCGTTTATGAGTCATTTAACTTTTTAATCTATTCATTTATCGTATGCTTATCCAGTATTATTTCCTTTCGAAAAGCAAAATACTTTTCAAACAGTTTCGCTTTTTGATAAAAAAAAATATCCATCATTTAACATTGAAATACCTGATACTTAATAGACATATTATGTACTATCATATTCCAATCTTAATTGTATGGTCAGATATAGGTTGTGGTGGAATGAAAGAGTACGACTCTCAAGGGTTAGATATCGACGCGTGCATGGCCATCAAAACGCATCTCAAGCCCTAGTCTCTGCTGTCTCCAGCATGTGGTCATTTGCAGCGAGAATAAATCGGTAGTTTATTGGTTTTTGTCAGTATTTTAAGGGCAATGGGGATAGTTCCGACTGTAATTCTCCAGACGGTTGATATTTGTCCCATTATCTGTTGTCCGCCGACGAAACAGAAACCCTGCTCTCCACCAAAGCCTATGGATCGTGTATGGAGATACGGCACGATTACCGTAGATTTGTCGCAAGAATTGGATAACATATATATGCATGCGATTGGACTTTACAATCGTATCTCGAGTAAACATGATTTATATATTTTATCACACAGAGGCCTGAGAACTTCAGGTTTTTTAATCCCTTATATAACCGACAGATGATATAAACGCAATTGATATTATTTGAAGACACGTCAGAAATAAACTTCCATGAATAAATTCTCCCATGGGAAATACATTTTTATCTATTTAAGATAATTTTATTGTTTTCACGATACCAAATCTATAGCACACACGACTGATGAATTTCGTATGTTTGATTCATACTGCAAGAGGGGTTTATTTTAGAAAACACTTAAGTTTTGAGATCCTTTGGTGGTACATTTAGGACATGTACAATATTATTTTCTTTATTAATTATCTCGAGCGCTCGAGATGATATGTCGAGCAATCGAGAAGTTATGTCGAGCGCTCGAGATAATTAATGTAGAAAAATAATATTGTGCATGTCCTAAATGGACCACCGTAGAATCTTAAATTCGTATTTCTTTTTATTATTTGAGGAAACCAGATTCGGATTTTGACAGTTTGTTATCAAGATATGCTCCTTAAGTATGACATAAGTCATCTCACTACCAAATATGGTGATATCAAGTTTTTAATAGTTAGTTTTCCTTTCCTCAGTATCAACATACAAGTATACCCTGATTATCAATCATGTCACCTGTTCTTTTTCTTCTTTAGAGCCTATATTTTGGTCACCTACATACCTTAGTTGCATTTAACGAGGACATAATGACAATTGACAAAGGATAAAGTAATCGATTTTTTCAACTTTCAAGTCCAGTGAAATGGTCAACCATAATATTCAAAAAACCTTGATTATATCTATTCTACCAAATAAAAGTGCTGATAAGGCAACGTGATCTACATGTAAATCACTAATGTACCTAACGTATGCTGGTTTTTTCGCGTGTGCAATGCATATGGATATACATGTTATTAACAATCCGATGTCAAAGCTGACGTCAAAATTTCAGGACATTGATCCTGTAGTCATGGCATGCCACGTGGATTATATATGTACACACAGTTGTGTACCTTCACACGATAACGCTCATTCGTCCAAGACAAGTCACACACGGTTCATTTGTTTTCTTTTTTCAATACGGGAAAGACTTTTGAAACAGCAGAACCCGTGCATAGTTTGTTGTAAAATATTATGCCTGTGTTTCCTTAATATCTGTTCACCAACCAATGAAAAGGGTCGTTACATCATAGATGTGATAGGATATTTATTGCGTCTCAAGACGATACCGTTATAGTGGAATTTCCTGGGGGGAAAAAACACAAATAGAAAATGTTGAGGTATTTTATTTTCATTCAAATGCATATGTTTCATTTCGATTTATTTGAGTAGAAATCCCGTGAAACGCGTGTCGCTGGGAAGAATAGCTGCGCCATGGGTTTCTCCGGGAAGTCTTACCCAGACTCGATCTCCCTCGTTAAGTTGTACAGTTGTCATACCGCCACCGGAAGTATGTTGCCCTGTAGGTGTAACTCCAGAGAAAGCTGTACCGACCTGGATGCTATTTCGAACGACTTCGGTACTTAGCCAGCCACCAGAAATATGTACTGTCCAATGGAATACGTACAACCCTGCCTGCGGACAGGTAAACGTCCCTGTGTCACCGTCGTATGCACTTCCGGTATTTGTGATGATTTATCAAAATGTAACTCCATTAGCTTATTTGGCGTAGCGTAGCTATGTGTCAGGAATGTGTGGAAAGCAATAGTATCATTTTCAGGTGCAACTCGCTTTCCGTTCTCGATTACGTCTTCATTTGTCTTCAAGTGAAATGTTAATTGTCTGTTATCCCTCCGTCGTTGGTTTTTGGACACACATTTTACGTGCTGTTGCTGTTTGGCGTTAGGTTCTTCTATATCAGTGTCGATAACATCATCAAATTTTCTACCACTAGTCTTTGATTCACTTTGATTGACGTGATTGAAGACACGGAGTTGTTGATCAAGGTCAGCAATACGGTTGTTGTCCGCCTGCCTCTCTTTTTCTAGGTCAGCAATATGCTTGTTGTCCGCCTGCCTCTCTTTTTCTAGGTAAGCAATACGCTTGTTGTCCGCCTGTCTCTTTTTTTTATAGGTCAGCAATACGCTTGTTGTCAGCTTGAAGTTGTTTCTCAAAGTTATTAATACGATGCTGATTTCTAAGTAGGTGTTTGCTAAGATCAGAAATATGCTGTCGGTCGATGTAGTTATACTTTTCTAGGTGAGCAATTCGGCCGTGGTCCAATAGTCGTTGCTTTTCGAGGTCATTCATACGAATTTCATCAGTTTTCCACCGTTTCTCGATATCTACGTACCTATTTTCAAGTTTTGAAATTCTATCGTGTGAGCCTGACAAGGAACCGGTGTTGTCGTAGTGTGCAAAGCCATAACCGTTTTGTGATTGACAGACTGTCCAGGGAATCAACGTTAGTATGGTGGTAATCCACAGCATAGCTATGTAGAGTTTTTACGGCTTCGACAAGTCTTCAGTGAACCCTATCTTCTACACTTTGGCAAATAAAAAGATAGCGCACATACAATATATGACTGTCACTAATTTTGTGTAACAGATGGCAAATGTTCGTGAATCTTGTAATCTTGACCTGTATTAGACATCTCCACAATCTATGCGAGATTATTATTCTAGACGCCAGTGTTTAAAGAAATGCAGTTCAACACTCAGACTGAAATCAAATGGTGTTAAGTATAAAAAGCATAGCAAGCCGATTTAACCTTTATTCAAGGAGCTATGTCAATCTTGTATTTAATAATATTATATACGTTATTTTCTATATTTTATGAAATACAATATCTTACATATTTATGTATTGATTTTTATATATTAAGCTTTCTTATAAGATATTCCAGAAAAGTTTAAGATGCCTTAAACATATATAATGTCTTAATTTTTTATAAGATATATTATACCTTTAACGATATACCCTATAAAGTTTCTTTACGATATTTTAGATATATTGTATGAAATATGTTATAAAATCCATAAGAAATCACATTGATTACATATGGTATATCGTATAGAAAATTATATGATATAAATGTGTATCTTATAAAGAACGAGATGCCAGCGTACCTGACAACGGAACGTCGTCGTTATCATTCATTTTAAACGGTTACATAATCATATATATACGTCTACAAATACCTTCATATATACAAAATACGATTGGTTGAATGAAAAAGATTAAACCCATAAGTTTGAATGAGACCAGTTTAAATCATTTGAATGAGACCGGTTTAAATCAATTGAATGAGACCAGTTTAAATCAATTGAATGAGATCAGTTTAAATCAACCGAACCTAAAATCTTTCTGCTTATTTTGTTTTGTAAATTTCTTTATCAGATTTGATATTCTATATAATATATTATCAGATGTATGAATTAATTAATATGGGCAATCTTATAGAAATAAATTATGCAAGATATCTTATAAATAAATATATATATATATATGATATAATTATCTTATATAACTTTTATGAAATACAAGTTGTAGATCGTCATCCCCCTTTAAATACATGGTAAAAACAAGCTAACTATACATACGGCTTATTTTCCAGGTGTGCTATGCAGATATCAAGTTGTTTGAATAAGTTGCTAGTTTGTCGTATATTTAATAAGAAGTGGATATATGGCTTTGAAATGTGATACATACCATCGATAGGTGATGACAAAAGATTTAGAAAGACATGCAGAACAGATGAGTCCAGTTCTTCCGTATAACGTTAAAAGGGAGACAACTCTTCAATTGTAAAACCAATATTTATACGTAAAATAACAGAAACATCCTATGCTTTTTGATCATCAGTGGACGTAATCGGATATAGTACTGTTGAATGTGTACACTTGAGCATGTTATATAGTGCCATCATACGCTTGCACTAATTTGTCTACTAACACGCAAGCATGTGCGTATTTCGTGTAGATTCGATAATAATTTTACGATGATTAAAACGATATATCCATGAGTAAATGTGAAATTTGAAAATATACCTTATTTACGTATTCCTACGTATAAACCTATCGATCACCACCAGAAACTTGACACATTTTAATATATTTGGCTATAGTTAAAACAGGTAGAAATGCATTGCCCTATTGCATGAGTGTCACTATTTATCATTGCCACACAGATGCTGATGCATAAGAAGCTTCCGTGATTTTATGCAAATTGATTCATAATATTACAATAGTACATGATTCTTCGCTCATTATTTATCATTTTGTGGATTCAGATCAATCGCGAATAAAACAGGAATGCCGGAAGAACTCTAGTGAACGATTTGATGACTGTACTTGCTATTGAATTTACTGGTGATTGTAATCTGGCTTAAGTGTATGTCTTGTACGCGTGTCATCAAAGCAGACATTCAATAAACGCGCCAAAGTCCACGTCAGTAAATGGAGTTAAATATCTAATCCAAGATTATTGAAAAATCGAATACAATCAAGGAATGGGATGGTATATGGTAATTGATTGCATACAGACAAAGCGCATTTCAACTTAATTATACAGCAGACAACCCGCCTCTCTCTTTACTGATGAATACTTTTCGTTTCTTATTCATTGTAGATAGGGCTACCTTTATTTCAGGTCATAAGGTGTAGGTTATACCTCTTTTTATAAAATATTCATTGTCAGCATTGCAACGTAGGAAGAGTCTTTGTTCTTTAAAGCACGATAAGCAATGAAAAAATACAAACCCACGCTGTTTATTCTGTGTGATTTGTTTGGCGAAAAGTACAAAAAAGTCAAGTACACAGAAATACGGCTTACCTTAATTATAGTCCAATGGTCTAAAGCGAAGCATGTGATGCGGTCGGACGACATACACGCCCTACTCTTAAACATATTTACAACATGGGCAGTCTTTCGTTTGGAACATCCAATCAGAATGTTTTCAGAATAAAATGACTGTTAATCAATACTTGTTTATCTGTAAGGTAAATCCGCTCTCGTGCTGTTGAAGGAAAACACCTTTGAGGCTTCGACAATAAGACAGACTGCATCACTCATGAGCAAAAAGCAACGCGTAACTTGATGTCAAGCTGTGTTTTCTTTTTCTAGGATATTTTTTCGACATGTTTAAAGTTTAGACTAACATTCTTCTACGCTATGATATTGGATTGAAGTGTGCCCTCAACTATGCTTTAGTCAGAGTCGCAATCGTTGTCAGTAAAATGATTATTTATAGAATAGTAATGCTATTGGTGATGTCCAAGGCTTTGGTGATACAGGAGTACTTTACGCAGAGAGTTGACTGTGGGACAATGATTCTGAGTTATGACTTAGTCTACGCTAATAGGACAGCATCCAGCCTTCTTGGATGCGCATCCTTGTGTTTATTTGATCCTGACTGTGAGTCGTTAAACTTTCTCCGTTTCGACATTTGTATGTTGAGTAACAAAACACTTGATGACTCGTGCTCTAACAGACAAGACAACGTAAACGGTATCTACTTGGTTCGCTTCCAGGAAAAAGTAAGTAATAGTTGAATCTTTGAAACTGTTTTCTCTTTGTGTTGAACACATTTTGCAAGTCCCTTTTTTCTTTCATATGAACCATTTTCTTGAAACTAGAACAAAAACATTTAATAATTTATCTTTCTGTAATTAAAATGCATAATTTCTACTTATATATCACGAATATCATTGTGAAATTAAAGGTGTCAACTAGAGTTGTAGTATAAAAGGCGGTGCTTTAGATCTCTTTGTGAACTTTGTTCCCTCCACATAACATGCCAAACATTTGTAAGGAAGTTTTAATAAGAGAATATTAGACCCAATGTCGCCCATACCGGTATACTACAAATCAGAAGATGGTGTTTAGTTTCAAACATATTTGAAAACTTTAAAATGATTTAGACATAATTTATAGTAATTTAGATAAGGTCACTTTCCTTAAAGCAATTTATCAGTAACATTACTTATACAACAGCATGACACCCTATGTCAAAGCTTTCGTTATATTGTTATAATTGACCTGAATTACATATATCTTTTATTAGCTACAAGCCAATACGTTTTAGAATTCAGCTATACGACAGACTCTTGTGTTTATGCAGGTTGCTTTCGAAACTTTTTATTTAAATTAGCTATGGCTTGTATTAGTTTTTACTGTGGAAATGATATCATCTTTATTTTCTTTTATACAAATCGAAACAAAGTGAATTGATAAAAAACATTGTACCACATCATCAATATACAAGGACCAACAAATCATATACCAACAGGACCATATGAATCTGTACTCCTGACGACATGGCGTCTTATTCTCTGGTCTTTACCTTGACGGGTGCAACATTCGATGAACTATTTTTCCCGAACCACCCGATTTCTATTCAAGTGTTTTGTAGGTTTGAATGTATTTTCGGTTCTCTGTGTTGCCGTTCATAATTGAGTTTCAGTTCATCTGTTATCCTTGTGTGTTTATTTTGTCTTTGTGTTTTAATGCCCTTGGATGCTCAATCAAGGGCGATTTTTACCTAATGATTTCAAAGATATCCGATTTCCACACAGCACTCACTTGATAAAGTCTAGTTGGTATAAACAAACATCACAGAACTGTAAATTACTTGGTGTAAATCGAGAAATTATAATTCATAGCCTACTGATACCGTATTCAGATAAGTTGTTATGCGGTAGGCATGATGTCACCAAAGAGAATATATTTATTACCAGTCAAACTATTTAACTATGATACAACTGACAACTTTGTTTGCTCGGATTAAATATTGTTACTGTAGTATAATTAGATTATTTAAAGAAGGTGTATTACGTTTTAAGAGTTACTGTTTTAAGAATTAAAACGTTATTTACTTTGACTGACATTGTCGCTGTAGTGTTAAACAAGTCATAATTATATTTTACACACTAATATTTTGTTTTACCAGAATGCTTCAGTTTGTTTGAATGGTGGAATAATGAAGCCGACGAACACGTGTTTGTGCTTTGGGGGATACATCGGGGATTTCTGTGAGCGAATCATGGAGGGTGAGTATTATTAGTTTCCAACAATAGTTGTGAATAGCAAACTTTTGAAACAGCTATAGCTTACGACGGTAGATCGACGGATATTTTATCCTCAACAATAACGATATCGCTGTATCTTACTCAAAGAAAAAATTGAATGTTATAAGAAAAAAAATTGATGTCACTCATTAGCTACCTTAAGGTTAAAATATACAGTGTATAGCTACAGAGAACTCAATGTGTATCAAACCCTTACCGACAAAACAATTATTATGCGTTGGTCATTTTCGTTTTATTATTACAAACTGATTATATGTAAAGGAATGCTAAAAAGGTTTAAACGCTTTCAGCTTTCCGATACTGAACATATGAATAGCTTAGCGGGCATGTTCGAAGTCAATGTCACCATCTTTCCTGTATCAAAACTAATTACGAAAATTTGAGACAAACGTTAATATTCCTGAATATTCAAGTAATGAAAACTTTTAAGCTTTCGTGATACCAGAGCCCTTTGCTACATTTATGTAATATATGGTGTTTTAAAGGTTTTTGTTTATCCTGCAGATTGCACGGAGGGCGTACCGTACTATCCAGGGGAGTTCGGAACGTTTCTAATCCACCCAAGGCTGTCTCCAAAACCATTTAAAGCTGTGTGCCGAATGGCGTTTGACAAACGGACTTATCTACAAATTCGTCATTATGGCGGAAATGAGACATTATTTGTTCAGAATTGGGAAGCATACAAGAATGGTTTTGGCGATATAAGCGAGACCGATGATTGGAAAAGAAATTTCTGGCTTGGTAATGAGAACGCTTATTATCTCACCAATAGTAAAGATTACCATCTCATCGTACAACTAGCAGAATATCACTATACATCATTTGGTCAATATCGACTTAACTATTTTGTGGTTAAGAGCGAAGAAGATAATTATTCTATGTCATACACAACCGCATATCCCTATCTATTGTCAATTGTGTTTGGAAACAGTATGTTATCTAGCAACGGAGCAAACTTCAGCACGTTTGATCGAGATAACGATATTTTCCCTGGTAATTGCGCACAGAAACATGGCACAGGATGGTGGTTTGCGAGCTGCTCGCGATGTAACCCCAATGGTCGACTTTGGCCTGGAGGAATAAATGTTAGACTGAATGTTGACGATGAGTTTTTTTGGGAAGACGGTCTTAATGGCTGGTCAGCATGGGGAACAAGTATGTGGCTTTCTAGACATTAGTCCACCTATTCCGTATACCAAATGCTGCTAGAAGTTGCTTGCTAGACATCATATTGTTGCCTTTTTACACGTAAATCGGCAGTTCGATTGTTCGATAGACTAGAAGTTGAAGTCATTGTTTATGAGATATAACTCGCCATGAATCAGCTTGTTGACTTTGTAAGCCTGGATACTTACTCTGATTTGTATAAACCTAGTCTGGATATTTACACGTCACTCTGAGTTGTATAAACCTAGTCTGGATACTTACACATCACTCTCGGTTGTATAACCTAGGCTGGATACTTACACGTCACTCTGAGTTGTATAAACCTAGTCTGGATACTTACACATCACTCTGGGTTGTATAACCTAGGCTGGATACTTACACGTCACTCTGAATTGTATGAACATAGTCATGGATACTTACACATCACTGTGGGTTGTATAATCTAGGCTGGATACTTACACGTCACTCTGAGTTTTTTTGAACCTAGTCTGGATACTTACACATCTAAGATAAATAGAAAATGGATCGCTACTCATTAGTTTGTTTATTGTTTATCAAAGTTTATCAAAGCAAGTTCGTTGTTAAGTAGACATTGTATTGATTGGCGTCATTGTATACTATTTACAGTCGTTTCTTGTTGTATAAACCAGTTAGTGGTTCACTGGACATTATACTTTTGTTCTTGTATACTGATCATCAGATACAAAGTAAGGACGCTCATTTACATCCTTTTAAGTAGTATATCATGTAAAACGCGCCTGAATTAATTTCGCTGGAAAGTGACACCAGACAACCTCGGGGACTGATTGTCAAACAGTAGTCAACCACACAGTGACTTAAATAACCCTTTTTTCAAATATAATAAGTCGATGTAAAACCAAACATTGCCTGCATCATATGGCCACTTCGTACATTGATTCATACCTCCAGCAATCATGTAAGACTCACCAGTGGTATTCAAGATCAGCAGAAGAAAAATCTAGGCCTAAAACGTTCCGAACCATTTGAGGGAAAACAAGAAATATGGTAAGAGTGCCTACACAACTCTTTGTAAGGTAGACCCCTAAAATATCCAACGAGATCATGTTTCATTTAAACATTGAACCGTTTTTATATGGCAAGCAAAAAACATAATGGGCGCTAGCTAGATCAAAAATGCCATACAAAAACACTTCAATACGTATATTTACGTTTTCTCTGTCTTTTATGTTTTTATTTTGAATTTACAAGTTATATTTAAAATTTGAAATTCCCGCCTTAACGATAGTTCACACAATTGTTTTCAATACCTGGAACAGCGTGTTATCGCGTGCTGATTGGCAAACACAGTAGTACTTTGAAAATTAAACAACCATTTAATTTTATTTCACAATTTGATATTAATACACTTGCGTATGATATTTATATAGGATGATTTAAGTTATCAGTAGAAATCTGAGCTGAACGTTAGATTTAACATTGTTTTAATTTTTACCCTAACAAGTTTCACGCATGGATAAATACAGTCAACACCGTAATCCGACATTGCTCTCCACGAGGGAGTTAAATTTGGAAGTTGAATGTGCAGTAAGAAAAATTCGAATTTGCGAAAAATCCAGGCGTGAATTTATTTGTTGATTGCATTGAAATCTAGTAACAGTTGGTAGATGCTACAGCAGTCTCGTTATTTGACATGTCGCCAGAAATTGGGAAAACCGTGGCACATAGACGCGTGATAGCGTTTAAAGTGTGTTATCTAGCGACAACGCGTGGGACAACAGCTGATTGTAACAATGCGCCTCTTAGTGGTTTCTTTTGTGATGTTGCCACGGTCCTGTTATATGACCGGAGTCAGGATTCGTTTTAATGGCTAGACAGAAACATGACATTCAGATATGGTACGATTTTGGATGAGCTTGCATTCGTTTCAATAGGTTCAAACTCATTGCCTGCCAAGTTGAAAGTTGTTAAAATTTCATCTCGGCTAGATGAGAATCCAAGGGATAATTGGGAAGATCGCGATCGTTTGAATCTGTCATGGTAAGATAAGCGCAGTGTAACTAAGACGATATTTCTGATAAATTGTATGAGTGTTAAAATTGTTTTCATCGTATATTTCCACCGATGTGCTTTTTGTACGATATTGCAGATCTTTGTCTCTTTTTTTCTGTTGTAATAAAAGTATTTTCTAAATATTTTCTCGATTTTTGTTTACACATTTACAATTGCATTGTCAAGTCTCACAACGCCCCACGATATTTCAGCAGCTGCCATGTTTGCTCATATTCTCCAGTCTGTGTTTGTAATAATACGCTAAGAATTGTGTCTCGTGTTGCATGGCATTTAAAGTCCAATTCACCGACACAGGTTTCAAGTAGACAATCTGGTGACAAAACGATGCAAATGTTAATATGTGTACATAACCTATTACAAGGTTATTTAGCTATGACATAACAACATTTTTATTATTATTCGCGCACTCGGAGAAGAATAGGACACAGTATTCATTGAATATTAAACATAATTCACAAATGACTATCACCATCTAATATTTTATTAATTAAATAATTGTGTATACATGAATGTTAAAACTCATGATAAACGAAGCATTAATTGACTATTTTCAATACGAAGAGAAGAAGAGCGCGTATTATCTGCATTGACCACAAGAATTTGATCATTCCCTTCCTCGAAAGAGGCGAGCAGACAGACTGTTGGATGTTGAGGATAATCTAAACATGCTTATATTTAAAGCAAGCTGACCGGCACGGGTGTTTGAAGAAATCTTAACGGATCCGATAAGTATCATATGCTTAAATTGAGTTCGAATTAACATTTTCTTCATTCTTTGATATTGCGTTGGTTCCATAAATCTGTAAATAAACGAAAAATAGTCATAGCTTTTGAGTTTTATATTTTGGCAAATGCACTTAAGTTTCTTTTTCGAAGTATTTGTACAATATAGTAAAGCAAAGTTGTAATGTAATTACACAATTAAATAGTGAATGTCCTTCTGTATCTGTAGGTAGATATATATAGCTTTAGAGCCTTATACATGCAACTGTGCATTCATTCGTAGCCATTTCGTTCTTTAGGTTAACATCAAAACGCTTCTTCCCACAAAAACATCACGCGGCCTATGAATATTTATGAACTCTGTTTTCTTATAAGGCTCCCTTATGTACTACGTAGCAAATAGCTTTTCATAATTAGAATTAACAAAGCCAATACTTAGTTTTAAGAGAGAGAAATTAAGATGTAGAAATAATTTTAAAGATATCGAATTGTTTGCAAACTCTTTTCGATGTTTATCACTAAATGGATGCTTTTTTATTTGTATTGACCACTTAGTCACAGCTTACATTGTATTTCTAAGTATTCAAACTTTTGTCAAATGTTAAGTGATCCTCAATAATCGATTTTCGAAGTCTGAAAAGTAAGAATTAATTATCTGATCTAGCTAAAAGTGTTTGTAGCAATCAGCAAAGGTAACTTAAAATAAAGATAAAATTGGTACTAGAAATAACAAAATGTGAATTTGACAAATGGTAAATGAAGATTGTCCACTTCAGTCAACTTCTTACGTTCTGGATCAAGTTCTCATTTCCATGTGAAGAACGTTATTTTGCAGGATTTTACAACCTCTTTGTAAACAAAACTATGTCATACAACTTAATGTATAATGGGTCTTAACGTGGGGGGAAAACGGAGTACCCGGAAGTAACCCAAGTGATCGGGCAGGTACAGGTACAGGTAACCTCCCCGACCACCTTGGTTCTCTGGTTTCATTCCACATTCAGACCCACTGCGCGTTTATGACTGTGCAAATAAAAGTGATATTAATGCAGGTTGGAAAACCTGTTTCATAATTTATAATAAGATAAATAAAGTTTTTTTTTTTTTCATTTACTTAGGATGAAACCATGTGTTATGGTACATGTATACAAAATAGTAACCCCGACAAAAAAAAAAGACATAAAACCTGGTCATTTGTCATGGATTGAATTAATCAACCCCACATCCACTAAGACAAGATCAGTATCGTAATTTGGTTTGTTTGTTTGTGTTTTACGTCCTATTAACAGCTATGGTCATTTCAGGACATGCAATGTTTTAGTGGTGAGGAAAGCCGGAGTTCCAGCTGAAATCACCGACCTACGTCCAGTACCTGGCGACTTCCCCATGTAGGCCTCGAACCCGCGATACTGTGGTGGATGGCTAGTGGTTCAGTATCGTAAACACATCCTAAACACAAATAGAGATGTCGTGTCGAGTAAAGTGAAGTGGTTTTTAACACGACACGAACACTCGAGCCGATTAAACAATCGTGTTCCACATATTAACCCTCTCCGACAACATGTCCTCACCTGAAAATATCTTACCAAAAAAGGGAGCATTACACAACACACTACATATAATAAAATATAACCAGCTATCACGCGTCGCATTATATCGTTTACGTTTCCGTGATGACATAATACAAGTGTGTAGGAAGATTTTTGTTTATGCGACAAAGTCCCTTGTCCTTTGATTACTTATGCACATTATACCACGGCACGTTCTATTAGAGCATCGCACACAATGGAAACCATGAAAAACTCTTTTCAATTTGAAGAAATTTATGAGATTTACTCCTGCGGCAAAAGTAAAGTAGAATTGAATGATTTCGGACACATTTGACGAATATCATATGAGTCGAAATTTCTTATTCTATGGACATCATAATGTGCAGCGGTGCTTTCAATCGTGTTTGGGACACTCAAAATACCACATACCTGCAGCAAGGTGCCGAGTATCACCAGTATCGTCACTATGGTGGACCAGAGGGCGTGTATCCCATCTCCTATACATCGTAGCCGTCGAACAAAATTGATGTCGGGACACTTAAACACATGTATATACTAATGTACAAGTGTATTTATTTTCTTTTTGTTCGCAATGTTCCTGAATATTATTAACGGACTTATTTTAGCGCATCACATAATTGTATTGATAAATTGACGCACCCACAAAATATGCAATGAGACGCAATTCACAGATCCTTCAATTGGCGCAATGACAATTGAGAGCAATAAGCGCGAAATAGGTATATTTAAAGTAACATAAGTTGAAAAAAAAATTGCATGAAAAAGTTAGACAACACAAATTTCATCATCGACATAACGATACAAATGTAAATAGATAAATCAAATCAGTTTTACAATCATGGTTCCACTTACAAATTTCTTTTAAGATAGACAATCAATAATAGATATCTTTGGTGATATTGGATCGTTCCCACTGACACCAATCAATAAACACCATTATTTGTTTGGGAATTTAATTGATTCAATAAATTTGGTTGTGGGTAGCTAACTTTTTCTATTTGATTCCTCTCATAATGGACTTATTCACACAGATATTCATTGAAAAATCCTCAGTTGCAATTTGCTAACAACTCAAACAAAATGTATCCACTTATACATTTCAGTTATTATGACAGTTAACAACTTTAGCTCTTTGTACTATCCCAGTCAACTCTCATTGTCGACTGTCGTCTTTCCGTTACTTTATCTTAATGTCTGCGTACAGTGTATTAGCCACTGTCCTGTCCTGTCCTTGTCCACTTTCCACTGTCCTTCCCTACTGCCCACTGGCCTGACGACTGTCTTCTGTCGTTGTCGACTACCACTGTCTTTGTCTAGTGTTCTCGTCCACTGTCCGTATCCACTGTCTCTATCTAATGTCTGTATTGACTGTTGTCTGCTTACTAACGTCCGGGTCCATGGAGGTATGTATTACCAGGACCCGCTGGTCATATCAATGACTCACACATATTACCTCATAAATGACTGGAAGCGTCCGCATCCGGAAACCTTACAGGGAACTGTCTTAGTAGTCATTATAAGCCGATAGTTTGGTTTATAAAAAGCCTATGCAGCTTTAACGCGGTGACATTCAACCTTTAGAATGCATTTTGAAAACTTGTAAAACAATTTTGTACTTAAGATGTGTGGAAGAGAATAGTGCATGTAATACTGTTTACATGGCTTCGTGACTACAGCCCTCTGCTTCATGAGTGGAACCAAGAAAACCTTAGAACCGAAACGCCTCTCTGAAAAAACAGACTAACAAGATGTTTTATGAGGGTATATCAGGTTATACAAAATAATGTTTTTGTTTGCTACCGATAACATACCGATGTGGGGTCAGTGATACGCTGGAGACATTGGCATTTACCTGTGCTGTTGGTATCGGTACGGGATATCTGTATTATACTACTTACTTGAGACGCGTATGGAATATAGCCAATTACCTAGGTACGCATTGGTGCCATCTTTAACGATTTTAATCATATTTGTATTTTGAATCACGGTTGAATGTTTAGTTTATCTTTTTCTGAAAATGAATTTATCGCAGTGAATAATCAAATCGATGTTTGCGAACGTACATTTTGATTCGCCATTAAACAATTCAAACACGTCTTGTGGTCTAAATAGGGGCTTACACTAGTGGAATCCAGTTTGCGCCAACAGAAGACTTATTCGTGAAATGTGCACGCCATATCGTTAAGCTTATACGATTGCTCCGGTGTGAAAGACTACGTTTGCCAATAAAGCGTTGGATACAGTATAAACGGCGATGAAAGATTCTGCCAGAATGAGGTAAGAATATTATATACTTTTAATTGATCCTATAAACATACATATTTTAGCGGTAATCCAATCTTATAGCTTTTCGTGTTTTAAACATTGCGTTGATTTATGACTGCGCTAATTGCAATGTTTGCTTTTTAGTTTTTATTGCATATATTTTGAGTAAACCAATCTATCCACGTTTAATCTGTTCGTTACAATAAGTACCTTTACAGTATATGGACTACTGTGATAACTTACGTTAAGAGGAGATATTTAAATAGAACATAATAACATATCACTATAACATTAACCCCTACACAACTTGATATCTTGATAACAGTGTTATGTCCTAACAATTCGTATTTATGAAAATGAAAACAAAATATGCATGCTCTAGAAAACGAAATATCGCTTCCAAATTTTAAGTGTCCAAATTATCATTTTTTGTATATACCTTTCAAAATTGTAACTTGCCATTTCCTAATGAAAGTTGTTTCAGCTGGAAAAATTAAGATGCTTCTTAAACCACATAAAATGAAGAATAGATTTTATGGGCATAATACATCAACCGTTTATATGCATACATGTCAAACAAAATTAATAAAGTATCATTTTATATATCTGTAAAATATATTTAACATTCTATAAAGAATTATTATAAATGTTCTCTCAATATTTTCGATGAGGTAAAGATTACTGTCACATTTTACTATTACATTTCTACATTATTTATTGTTACAAATTTAGCCCCATTTCCTCTATTGTGGTTTATTTATATGCTTAGTTGACACTGTGAATATATAAATGCCACTAAGGATGGTCACCACCACTCGCAGTCATCCAGACACAGATACTGCACCTTAAGCGAAATAAGTCAGATATATAGCAATACCTATTAATCATGCTATTCAGTGCAATGGTTGATGTAATTACATTTGTGTAACCTGTAAGCCCTATTACTATCTGCTTGAACAGCATACGGTAAATGTACACAGTCTACACAGTTTAACATATTTGTTTCATAAGAAAAATAGTTAAAATCATAAGGTCCATATGTATATTAAAGAATTCAGATAAATACATTTTATCTTATCACAAAATGTGCTGTGTTATCCAGTGACTATACCAATGTCATATTTTTTGCGTATTAACCCATGCAATATGACCTATCAGCCCTGTGATTGGTTGTAAGTTTCAATTGTTTCAATTGTGACGTCACGCAAAGGACAAGTACATGACGTCACAGACTTACGCACTGGCGTCAAAATGGCGGCTTTTCACATTACAAAGTTGCGTGAAAATTATCGTTTTATACGAATAAATGCCATAAACCTTGATTATGTGATAAAAAGAATCTCACACTCGTTTTCATTTCATATGAAATGGAAACTCATGTAAGATCCTATATATATCAAGATATCAATTCATTATACTTTCTAATATCAAGGTTGTTAACCTTGCCGTCAGTTAATTTTGAAATGGGCTAAGCTAACAATGCCCAAGCTTACGTCTTAGCATAGATTATATATTTCTTTACGCATGTCCATGAATAAATTAATGATAATATACTTAATCTTAGTCAATACATCTATCCACAGCCAGATTTAAAAGTTTCCAGTATAAAGTTGACGATATTTCCAAACCTTATACTACCACTGTCTTGGATTAGATTCTAAGTGGTGTATGAGAATGCATATTTAAATATTACTTTACACGGTGTAAATACAACGATATGTTATCCACTCCAAAAGGTTCCTTGTAAAATAAAATACTACGTTAACAATCGGGGACATATCTAAAACAAATACTTATACTATTGTGAGGTTTTTTAAGACGACGAGAAGGTGAAAAGGGCGTCATTGTGAGGCAAATTGTGCAGAAAGAAAAAAGTAGTAACGTGATTTTTTTTTCTTGCTACACACCTACAAAGCTCTCATGTTATTTGGATCAATATACGAACTGAACGCAGTGGACATTTGATAAAAGTCGTCAGCAGAAACATTGTCATTGGAAAATCAAACATTCTCAGTGTTTACATAGACTTGTAAAGACTCTCTCTTCAAATCCGTATTATTATCTAGTAATAAGAAATAGGGAGTAAGAATACATTTTCAATGCCTCTGCCCACCATATGTCATTAAAACAAGGCTTAATACTTACGACATGTTAGTGACAGGGGTTTCAAAAAAAAGTATTTATTCGTTACAATGAGTCATTTTACAGAAAACCCCCATAACATTCATGTTACAAGCATTTTTCATCATTTTGAGTAAACATAATGTGTAAAATATCTGTTCAAGAGTCTATAAGTACACAAGGCCATGCAAAGGATGATTCACTTTCAAAAACTTGACAAATTGCTAAAAATGGATTTTCTATGTTCTTTGTTAATTTTGTTTGTTTGTTTGTTTGTTTGTCAAAAAAAAAAAATCATCGGTGTATAGTTCTTTATCAATGAACAGCAGGATATCGAACACTCTCCTTTTCCCTTCCCTAACTCTTTTGGTATACATAGTTTGCAAATATCATATCATTTATAAAAAATAGAACGTGGTAAAAATGTATTCAACTTATAATTACCTACGACGTGACCCGTAACATAAGTAATTAATGTACAATGTTCATATACGCACAATCATATGCATAAAACTAGTGTGTATTGGTCACAGGTGTGTATTGGTCACAGGTGTGTATTGGTCACAGGTGTGTATTGATCACAGGTGTGTATTGGTCACAGGTGTCTATTGGTCACAGGTGTATTGGTCACAGGTGAATTGGTCACAGGTGTATTGGTCACGGGTGTATTGGTCACAGATGTATTGGTCACAGGCGTGTATTGGTCACAGGTGTGTATTGGTCACAAGTGTGTATTGTTCACAGGTGTGTATTGGTCACAGGTATATTGGTCATAGATGTATTGGTCACAGGCGTGTATTGGTCACAGGTGTGTATTGGGCACAGGAGTGTATTGGTCACAGGTGTGTTTTGGTCACAGGTGTATTGGTCACAGGTGTGTATTGGTCAAAGGTGTGTATTGGTCACAGGTGTGTATTGGTCACAGGTGTGTATTGGTCACAGGTGTGTATTGGTCACAGGTGTGTATTGGTCACAGGTGTATTGGTCACAGGTGTCTATTGGTCACAGGTGTATTGGTCACAGGTGTGTATTGGTCACAGGCGTGTATTGGTCACAGATGTATTGGTCACAGGTGTGTATTGGTCACATGTGTGTATTGGTCACAGGCGTGTTTTGGTCACAGGTGTGTATTTACATTCTGTGCTGCATTTAAGCATTGAACTGTTTTTGTGTGGTATTTATGATCTATTTGAATGACACGGCTTTGCAAGCAAACAACATAATGTGCGATACAATGTAGTTTCTGACGACATGTAAAATAACGAGGCTGTTGTAGAATCTACTGACTGATTCGAACTTTTCTCTCTGCTCATTTACCTTCCAAAAATAGCTCCCTTGTGGAGGGCAAGGTCGGATTCACGCTGTTCACTGTATTTATCCATGCGCGAAATTGATCTACATTTTCTTCACACATATCAATCACAAGAAATTTTACAGCGTGATGCTGTTTATATATTCATTGAATGAATGGCCCGTATTAAATGTTTTTTTATTTCATCTGACAACCTTACAATAAAGTATACGATTCATATCTGCTGTGAAGGAGATACTTTGCCTGTAGCGTTGTTTGAGGGTCAGTGCTAGGTCACTTATTCTGACACTAGTTCAGCGAATACTTCACTATCTTTTGAATAAATACACAGTGTTGGCCTTCCAATGTCCAATTGCTCTATTGTCTAGTTAACGCTAAGTAGCTGTCATGAGCAAACAAAAACGTACATGTCGATTAAGTAAAATCGACTTCATGTGCAGTCATGGTTTAAATACCATGTACAGACAGTTATCCAGTGGTGTTTTTTTATTTTATTTTTATTTGTATTTATCTTATTATGGTGTTTTTGCCATGCATTTTTGCACGAATAGATAGTATGCACTTGAATTGCCTGTGCATCTTAACCCGTTTCGAATATTCAAAACTATTTCCTCCCTCAAGTATTTTATTATAGTAACATAGTTCCTCAGTGGAGAAATTTGTTCGTATTTTCCATTTCAAAACCAAAACCACGAATGAAGGGTTATGAGCTTTACCCACGTTATATAAAATGCGAAGGAAAAACTCTGTTACCTGGGTAATGACACTGATCCGATGTAGGTAAAATGTGAACGAAAACCTCTGTTACCTGGGTAATGACACTGATCCGATGTAGGTAAAATGTGAACGAAAACCTCTGTTACCTGGGTAATGACACTGATCCGATGTAGGTAAAATGTGAACGAAAACCTCTGTTACCTGGGTAATGACACTGATCCGATGTAGGTAAAATGTGAACGAAAACCTCTGTTACCTGGGTAATGACACTGATCCGATGTAGGTAAAATGTGAACGAAAACCTCTGTTACCTGGGTAATGACACTGATCCGATGTAGGTAAAATGTGAACGAAAACCTCTGTTACCTGGGTAATGACACTGATCCGATGTAGGTAAAATGTGAACGAAAACCTCTGTTACCTGGGTAATGACACTGATCCGATGTAGGTAAAATGTGAACGAAAACCTCTGTTACCTGGGTAATGACACTGATCCGATGTAGGTAAAATGTGAACGAAAACCTCTGTTACCTGGGTAATGACACTGATCCGATGTAGGTAAAATGTGAACGAAAACCTCTGTTACCTGGGTAATGACACTGATCCGATGTAGGTAAAATGTGAACGAAAACCTCTGTTACCTGGGTAATGACACTGATCCGATGTAGGTAAAATGTGAACGAAAACCTCTGTTACCTGGGTAATGACACTGATCCGATGTAGGTAAAATGTGAACGAAAACCTCTGTTACCTGGGTAATGACACTGATCCGATGTAGGTAAAATGTGAACGAAAACCTCTGTTACCTGGGTAATGACACTGATCCGATGTAGGTAAAATGTGAACGAAAACCTCTGTTACC